TCACATTAAAATTACTATTTCAAGTTGGGGCAGAACAAGCTGTTGTAAGTAAACTCGAAATACAATTTTCCAAGTGCAATAAACTTTTTCCTCACTTACATTAAGTTAGGCTTCAAAGCAAATACTCTGGGTTGGTGGGGAGACCATACTCCATATAGCCATTGAGAGACCCAGTCTCTTCTACAAGTGAGGTCAAGAAAGAGTAGTTCTTGGCTATGGCTTTCCAATCGGATAGCTGCAAGAAAAGGACATGGAAGGGTGTATGTAAAGGTTTTGTTGACCAGGCTTGAACACAGTGCTTTACACCTCTGTTCACATTCCACTGGGGAAAGATGTCATATGGCTACAGACAAACCTAAACGCAAGGTGACTGAGATATTTTCAGTAGCTGGGCAGCCATATGTGCAGTTCCAACCAACCAAAAAAAAAAAAAAAAAAATCTGTGACACACCTGGCCATCTGTTTACTTTTAGTAAACTGAACAGGAATTGATATTCCCACCAACTGTTAGACCACATCATCTGGTGATTGTTTAAAAAAAAAATACAGATCTTTTGACTTCCTTTCTTTCTTTCTTTCTTTCTAGATGTCCTATTGACATATAGGTTAAGTGTTCTTAGTATTTCTCCTACAGTGACATCACAGCTGGCTTTGTAAGTAACAGCTTTCCTCTGATTTTCTCATGACAATTCATATAAAGTTCTATGGGAAAACATTGCTATGTGTGGGACAAAAAGGAAAGGTTTGCTTTTGAAAGAGGTTCTCTATTCTAACAAAGGGAAAAAAAAAAAAAACCACCTCAGGAGAATAATTTTGTCGTGCGTCTAGGAGTTTCTTTGGGGAAGAATATTTATTTTAATATTTGTATGTTAATAGCCCAGACATCTAAGATAGGACATATCACAGTGGATACTCAAAGGTTTCTGAAACAAAACTGAGACAATATGCATAAGGACCAAGTGTACTGTTGCCAAATTTCAACTTTGAGCTGCACATAGGTCAACATAAAGCTGCAGAGGTGCACAGGGGGTGGTCAGGGGTACCGTACTGTACTGTGAAAAGCTGACAGGTGGGGGTTCCATATGGGGTATAGCTTGAAGGGTGGGCTGGATCAATGAGTAAAAGGTCTTAGACACCATAACTGGGATTTAAAGTGTAGCCATCAATGGTTTTTAAACAGGAAAGTAACAAATCCATATCTACCTTAGAAAAATAATTCTGTGAAACAATGAATTGGGTAAGACAGAGACAAAGGGCAAGAAGATACTGATGAGAGAGACAGAGACGGGTCCGAAGTTGGCAGTGGCAATGGACTAAGAAGGGAGGCATAAACAATCTTGAGGACTTCCAGGTGCCAGAGCCACAGGAGTGGTGATTACTGATAATTAAACATGGAAGGGAGTACCAGAACTGCAACTGTTCTGGGATGCAGATGGAAAAACCCAGATAATCAACTTGCTCAAGGACATGCAGAGCGAAGTGCATGTAACACTTCTAGGTAGTTCAATTAGAATTAGAGACAAAATTAGTGTCAGTTTCAGGGGCCCTACTAAGCTATAACACTTAACACAATGTACTATAAATATTTATGAATTTGCTTCCTGTCCCACTGATAATTAGGACAAGGACCACTTTTTTTGTTTCTACATCACCTATTCAAAATATACGACTAAGTATATATGAAATGTTTGACAACTGATAGTGTGCTATCAGTTTTCAACTCTGAGATCAAAACACAATCATATGCAGAAACATCAAAGTAACTACCAAAACAATGACAATAATCTCATGAAGGCTTTAGGTGTTATGTTCAAACAGGATTTAAAAAAAAGTTAAACTTGTTAAAAGCCAAAGTCAACCATGAAACCCAATAAGGATATGAGAAAATTATAGCAATCCAGGAGTGAAACTGTAACAGTTGTGAATTGCTTTGCCTTATTCCTTAAAAGGCATTCTCAAAAATTCTTTAATTAAAAAAATCTAATTCCAATAAAAAGCTACATGTGAATACTGGTTATAATTTCTGTGTTCATGCATATCAATCACCATATGGGAGGGTATAGGATTCAGACCCTTGAAACTAAATACAGTAGGAATAAGAAATTAACTTGCAATTTTACAGTAGTGAGAATTTGAGAAATGGTACACATTTCAATCTACAATATACTTTCATGTTTTTTATCCTAATATATCTCAAGTAAAATCAAGCATCTTTACTAAAAGACACACATCACTATCAGATTTCTCAAAAAAAAAAAAAAATGGCCCCGAATATTGGGATAACTCAGTAAATATATGTTGGCAAAACCTCTTCTCTCTCTCCCTTTTTTTTTTTAAGATTTTATTTATTTATTTGACAGACAGAGATCACAAGTAGGCAGAGAGGCAGGCAGAGAGAGAGGGAAGCAGGCTCCCCACCAAGCAGAGAGTCTGATGTGGGGCTCCATCCCAGGACACTGGGATCATGACCCGAGCCGAAGGCAGAGGTTTCAACCCACTGAGCCACCCAGGCACTCCAAACCTCTTCTCTCTTAAAAGAAAATCCCAACTGAAGTACCTCTGTGCCATTTTTGGACAAATCTAAAACCTCTTGAGATTCTTTCAGGACTTTCTTTTTATACATTAGTTTAAGAAATGCCTCATGGAAAAGATAAGTTCTGGTAATTGGATATTTCTAGAATATTGAAATTATTCAATTCACAAAGAAACTGTACCTCTCTTTGAAGACTCTAATAGTTTTTTTTTGGCAGGACACTGAGTTATTCAATGTGTTAACAGAATGCTGTCTTAAAAAATTGTGAGTTCTAAATTATCCTATTACACAAGTCCAGCCACTGAAGATTCCAAGAGTGGGAGGCACAGAACAGGCACTCTGCGGTAACATTTGGTTCTCATTTTCTTTGAAAAATACCACCGTAGCACATCTATTGTAATATTGGCTATGAATTACTTCCTATCACATTAAATCAAAAAGACCAAAACCCCTCAGGTGTGTACAAATACCACATCACTTTCTTTTTTCGTACCAAGTTTTTAAAAAATAGTACCAATGGCTTTATTCTGAGGAATACCTTTTGGTTTGTTCCTGTAAGAAGATTGTGAAAATAAGTTTGTAAATGTTCCAGAGATTATATTTTATAAAATGTTGCCTGCCACAATTAAGGAATAGTCATCTCTCAACATCTTAAAAAACAGACTCTTTATACATATTAATGATGTTATCATTAGTGCTGATAATGAAGAAAAAACAGTGCCAAAGTTGGTGAATATCTATTTAAGGAAATGTTGTACATGAATTAGTCTCTATCAAAAGGCATAGAAAGATTAAACTGAAATTTTAGGCATCTCTTCTCATAAATAAGCCGAATGATTTGATATTTATCTACTCTTTTCTGAAGTCTGTATTATTTTAGGACACTTTAATACCTAGTAGATGCATTTTAATATGGAATCTCAATATTATATATCCATGAAAAACTGAGCTCCTCCTGTAACATAAAAATATATAACATAAACATATGTTATGTGTTTATATAAACACATAACATAAAATACATGTTATCCATAGGTTTTAGCACACACAGTGAAAGGGAAAAATGATATTGATGTAAAGTTAATCTAATTTTTGAATCTCAAGTGTTAATGATTTAAACCCTTGTGGTTAAGTCCGGAAAAATTAAATCCTTTAAAAGGGGTTCATAAACATTGAATAGAATCCTATCAATGCTTGCATCACATCTGGCAATAATGAAGACAAATTAACAATAAGATTTTGAGAATCTGGCAAGATGATAAAGTCAAAGCATACAAAATCACTTCTCTGCACTTAGTCAGCGGTGGTCCAGGGAAGGATCAACTTCCTGGACTCTGGTGTCCAAATGAAAGAAGGAAAATCTTAACTGCAATCTGGGATCCAGGTTTCTGGCTCACAAACAACAAAGCTGTACACTCACAAAGCAGAAAAACATCACCACCTCCCCTGAGAGGAACCTGCTTTTCTAATATCTGCTTTCACTTTAACTCAAAGAACTGACAATGACATAAATTCACACCTTCTTAAGGTAAGATTTTAAAGCTTAATGTGCTATGTTAACTCTTCCCACATGTATTTAATTTCTCTTGGGCAAATGGATTTGTCTTTAAACCAGATGTAGACAAGAATTTGCTTTAAAAAAATCATTTGAATTATCAAACTTAAGTTTATGTCAATTACTTGAAACAATGTCACTTAATTTTAAAAATGACTACATTCATTTTGTGCATGTATATATGCCAGTCATGTAATGCCATTTTTATCTAAATACTGTTTAAAACAAATACTTTAAATAGTTTAAGTAATAGATTTGATACTTAGTTTTTAACAAGTAGAGCAGGATGACCAAATTAGAAAAATAATTTAATTGTTAAAGAATGTTGCAGAATAGTTTAAAAGTGCCTTTTCTATTAGAACTGCTCATCCAGCAGAAAATCAGTAAGAATAGCCAACAGTTCCATCAACATCCCATTATCATGGGGAACAGTAGATGAAAATCCACCTTTGTCATAGCCATTTTAACTATAGAAATGTGCAATAAACCATGCTCTTGTTGTAATTAAAGGGATGGTGAATGTGAAACTATTAAAAAAGTACAACGCATTAGACCACATAAGGCATTATTATAATTAAAGAAACATGGCTTGAACGGTGATTTAAGCCATGGTGGCTGTATTGCATTATACCAGTCTATATCAACAAATCTTTTTTTATTTGTAAAGTTAGGGATAAATTAACGTACCTCAAGTCTTCGCAGCTCTTTTTCATTTATAATGTGTTTTCACATACACTAATCTGATTTGAATCTGTATTACCCCAACTTTGTGTGATAGGCAGAATGGTCATTTATTCGGCTCATATTTTAATGTGCTGAGTATAATTCCATCAACTTGAGACATGATAATATGAAATTATTAAGCCGAAAATGTGTTGAAAACAATAAAAACTATAATTGTATAGATGGGGCTTGGGATCAAAATGACACATTTTATTAAATGCAGTGTGCAAAATAAAATTAAGTGAACTCTATTTAAAAAGGGTACAAGACAGGTATTATTTAAAATGCTTTAGTACTCGTTTTCAATAAAAAGGAATCTGGCATTATAAAAATACATAAAATAGTCATGGATTCATACCATTAATTTACATATGATTTTTTTTTGCATAAAACAAAGTTAAAATAGTTTAAAAAGGTATTCTTATATGAAAGTTACTCCGTATAAAATTTTTATAACATTTTGTGATTTTGGTCCATCTGTATAAATAAGACATTTTATCCTTTTAAAATTCATAACTCCATTAAAAAAACATAGGATTCTCTCTTTTAAATAAAAGTCCACTTGAGGTAGTATGTTTGAGCTCTTCTTTGCTCCCATTCAGTCTATGTGTCCAAGTCATAAGACTGAAAATGTGGAGTCCTATGGTTTTCTGAGGTCTGTTTATAGGTACACGTGTGATTTTCTTGCTGAAAATCTGTCCTTTCTTTCCCACATTCCTCTGACTCAGAGTCCAAGTCTGGAGAAGAACGAGCTTTCAAGGGAAAGGCTCTTGGCTGACAACCCACTGGCTGTCCAAAGCTTGAAAAGGCATCCAGATGAGCTCTCTTCAGAGGCTTTCCAAATGTTCCTGAAAGGAAGAAACCCCTTGAGCATATAGGTCCTTTGGCTAGCATTTAATTCAAAACACATTTCAAATGGAGGAGCATCTTAGCCCGAAAGCACGCATAAGTGGGTTCTATAAGCCATTTACAGTATCAGGTGTATGTGCATTCCTGGTATGGAGAGAGAACGTACAGAATGGAGCTGGGGAATGAATACATACGTCCACTCTTTATTTCATTTCATCACTCATAGTAATAGTAATCATTGAGCAATGAAGTTCCCCAATATAATTTCTTCCAAATCCTGGCTTTAGTTCTTGCCAGTCCGCAATTCTCTATGAAGGAGATCGGGATTGTTGGTTATAAGTAAACTGTGCCTGGATATGGAAAGTGTCTTTCAAAATAATCCTTGTGCCTTGCCCTTTCTTCTTTACTGGCAGAATGTTACTTAACGGACTCAAACTCTTGTCACAGTCACATAAAACATATTTGCATTTAAAAAAAAAAAGAATATAAAAAAATTATACTGTGACAAAACATAAAATTTCATAAAAGCTGGGTAAAATATTTTAAAATTCTTTTTTTTTTTTTAACACAAGATAATTTGTGGTTCATTTTGCCATATCTCCATTCAGTGAAATGATGATCTCAGTTTTTCCATCTACCGTCCCCATGTACAGACAAAAAAGTTCACAAGCAAGTCTTGGCGCTAGCCACTGTCTACCACCCCCAACTTATGTTTTAAGGCTCTGGTAGTCTTCTCCGCCAAAGCAGTCAGCTTGGCTGACGAGCAGTTGTTGCCAGGTGGGATGCTGTCCACCCTCCCTTTCTTTGACTGTGGTCAAAGGGTGAGCCACCAGACATCCCAAACCACAATCATGCAGCGCATACAACTCCACCCCAAGAGCTGCTGTAGCCCAAAACCACTTTTTCCACATGGGTGACAAATGGAGCTCCTAAGTCACTCCCAAAACTTGTCTTCTAGATGATGCCACACACAGAGTTAACCAGAAAGCATCTAAGGCTTAGTTACGGATTAGACACATAATCAAGTAAAATCCCCCATGTCTGACTTTGCCTTTAGAAACACGTATACTAACTCAGAGGATGTCATGACTACATGATTAAAAACAAACAAACAAACACACATTTTCACAAGTTTGGCATCTGAGACTCACTGCTTTCCCACATGCAACTTGGAATAGGAGTCCTGAGTCAAGGTGTCTAATAATTTAATAAACTTACCCATGAAAGAATTACTTGAAGTAACGGATGCTGGCTCTGGACTTGGACTAAAATCCAAAGAGGACTTGTTTAGACACAAACTTTTCATTCCAGGTCCTTCATTTTGAGAGTAAGGAGAGCTGATTAACTTCCTCACATGGGAAGGCCATCCTATGTCACTGACACTCTGTTCACAGGATTCTTCTGAAGGGTAAGGACATGGGTAGCACTCCTTTTTCTTCATGTAACTGGGCTCGCAGTGGTCTATTAAGGCTGTTCTCAGGTCAGGGCCACAACCTTTTACATTTGGGGACAATAACAGAAAGAGACAGAGTTAGCGCCTCTGGGAATTCTCTCCAGAAAACAGAACCGAGCTCAGGTAAGAAAACCGCATACCTGTATGACAGGCTTCAAATGGATCTGAGCCGTACACATTCCCCTTCAAATACACAGGGCCTGAGGAGCCCAGAAAGGGACAAAGGAATGGATCCACGGTGACTTCCACGTCGGCTTCACTACTATTGTCAATATGGCACGTCCCTTTAAAACAAGACATTTCAGTCACCGAATTAATGTGATTCAAGTACCCTACAACACTCTCTCCACTTCAGGGATTTTTCCATGTTTGTAAATAAAAAGTTTGCATTGAACAGCATGTAAGAGGGAAAACTGGAGAAATTTATAGTAGGGTTTTAAAACATTTGCTGAGGCCTACGGATTAGTAACTGACGAAATCTGTGCCATCTTACAAAGACAGGACGTGACGAACCATTGAACTGCATGTGTTCACAGAGCACTGGCCCCCAGTGGCTTCCCAGAGAGACTGATCTGTGTATGCACACTGCAGCCAAAGCACCCATTGAAACACACAGTGCCATCAGCACTGCCCCCTCCCTCCAGGTCAGATGAGCAGGACCAGGAAGTGGCATTCAACAAATCATCTCTGAATGCCCAGATCAAAGAGAAGCTCAAAAAAAAAAAAAAAAAAAAAGCTGTTGTGAGTATCTGAGCCAAACAACTCAGAAATGACACGCCAGTTAGGAGTGGCCACAGCAGTTGAAGGACAAGAGATGTAGTGTAGGCGAGAGATATTGCAATGGGCCATGTGCCTGGGAAGCAGGAACTGGGCACTGAGTGGTCTCAGAAGAGACTGTGTAAGATGCAATCCCTAGTGCCGTTGGCCCCTCGAGCACTCAGAGCAGACCAATCCCCAGCCCTAGCGTCTAAGCAACATAGCACTACTATGTTCCAGTTCTGTCGCTTTAAACTTTCCTAAATGTCTTTTCCGTCAGCCCTGCTACATTTGAACAACGCTGGAACCAAATGAGTCTAACCAGAACACCCACCTGTATGTGCACATCTTCTATCTCTACACCCTCTATCACTGCCTTGCCAAGCACTTTGTGATTATTTGCTGCAATTTTCATTTCACCACTGCTTACACTATGAGACTGAGAGCACATATTCCTCCCTCTCAACTATAGAGTCCACCACAGAGCACACATTCAATAAATGCCTGTGGGAAAAGATGGTAAAATGTTTGAAAAGAATGTCAATAGTTTTCTCTTTTGGAGACCTTCATATGTACCAAGCACCATGCAGTTTTCCAACATAGCATTTTATTTAGTTTCACAACAACCTAATAAGGAAGTACTATGTAACTGCCCACGGATACATAGTAAGTGACAGAAGTGGGTCTTGAACCAAACCAAGCCTGTGTGTGTGTGTCTGTGTTATGGTGCCTCCATGATTATTCTTTTTTTTTTTTTTTTAAAGATTTTATTTATTTATTTGACAGAGATCACAAGTAGGCAGAGAGGCAGGCAGAGAGAGAGGAGGAAGCAGGCTCCCCGCAGAGCAGAGAGCCCGATGTGGGGCTCGATCCCAGGACCCCGGGATCAAGACCTGAGCCAAAGGCAGAGGCTTTAACCCACTAAGCCACCCAGGCGCCCCCATGATTATTCTTAAAACCACGCAGTTCTTAAAGCAAGAGTCAGAATTTGATTTCCCTAACAGAATTTTAAATCATTTGACTTTTAAGACCTTACATGAAACCAGTTAATGTCATTTAAGAAAGGAGAACATTCAGGGCCAAAGAACATTTATAGTGTAAAGAAAAGTATCAAGTTGGATGGAGAAATTAAACTTTAATTCTCCTACTTGTCTTCTCTTATTATCCAAAGCAAAGATTTTTCTGCTATTTAAGAGAATGGCATAATAGTATTTAATTTCAGCTTTGCCAGTGAGCTTGGGCCAGCTCAACATATGAATGTATTGACTGCTTGTGAAAATTAATACTGTACTTGAGCCTTCCATCAGATTGTTTTGAGACAGCTACAGCCTGTGTTCCTTTTAAACACTTACCATTGCCGTCGTGTTGTGGTAAGAAAAACCCGCCTCCTGAAGACGTGACGAACTGGTGGTGGCTTCCACTTTCTGAGGAGATGTACCCATCCTGTCTGTCGGCTAAGGTTCCCTGAGATGACAAGTAACTAGGGATATCTGCCGGCAAGTTGGTCTCATCTATAATCCAACAACAGCATTCTGTTAACCAAGACCGACCATACATACCCCACAGCCTTCCCTGATGAACACTCTATACTGTCTTGGTTTCTGTACAAATCAAATAAATCTACTCCTGAAAACTCACCTTGACTGTCTAGTCTTCAGGTTAGGAAGGTTAGGGCTCGCTGCTCTGGGAAGCACAAGCCAATTTTCTATTTTGCCTTCTATAGGAAGCCCTTCCCAAATGTCAAAAAAACAGATGTTTCAAGAGATAAAGCCTTAGGAATTTTTGTGGGGTAGTAGCTAAGCTTTTGGATTAAGCTTGATTTCTGCCATATTTCTCACCTAATATTCATCAATGTAAGAGCTGGCACATATCAGGTCACAGCCTGCTCCCACTAGTAACAGAATCCTCCCTAGACGCCTGCACACGTACGCACACGGCAACATGTGATGAGAGAGAGAATTACGGCAGAGTGTAGACCTCGTAAATGAAGGGCTGCTCCTGTTCTCCATCACCTCTGTGTGAAGGCGTGGGACTGTTTTACACTGTGCTTTGGACTATATCTCGTAGCAAACAGGATACTCTGATGAGGTTTTAACAAAAAGGGTTAATCTTTAAACATCAGCTTTATTTTTGGGCTGGGGTGTTATTTTTAGCTAACCATATTCCTGCCGCTTGAAACAAATGAGTCACCCTTCTGACATGGCCTCGGGCTGTGAGACACACATTCTGGAAGAAAATTACCCCAGGACCACAGGCACACACGACTCCAGCACGCCGTGCCAAGCTTCTGTTTACACACCTGTGTTGGTAATGCTGCAATCTTCATTCCTCCGCCTTGTGTGGTATATGATGACCACCCACACGAGCGACGTGCCCACCACACAGCAAACCACCGCTATGATCACGACACCTACGGTGGCCCATCCATCATCATCTAATGACGAGGCGGTCATCTGAGGGGAGTCACAGGTGGGAGTGGGGATCACGCTGAGGCGCACATTGCCTCTCTCAGTGCCGAGGGTGTTAGACATCTCACACGTGTATTTCCCGGCATCACTGACATCAGAGTCCACGATGATCAGCAGCTGATTGCCTGCTGCAAAAAAGTGCCTTTCGGTGACCACCAAGGGGCTGTCATCCTTGGTCCAGTTCAGTCTGGGAGGAGGGCTGCCTCCAGCGATGCACTGCAGGACGGCGGTTTCTCCCTTGGTGACGGTTCGGTCCAACAAGGGCCGCAAAAATGATGGTGTTTCTGAAAGGACAAGTTATGTTTTCAATCTCCTAAATGAAATCAGGTTTCGCATATCGTAAGACTGACCACTTGAATTTACTAACACTGGAACCTAACACTGTATTTGTCCACAAATTCATGCGCATGCTTCTGTGAGAGCCGAAACACGGGTACGACATTCAGTATCTCATTTTATTATTTGCCTGTCATTTGTTACACCACCTATTAAGGATAATGTTTACTGTTTTTTAAATCTCTCACACTCTTGACAAGATTGGGAATGGTGGAAGAAGGGCAATGCAAAACATTCTAGTCAAATGTATAAAAGTAATTTCAAGGGGCACCTGGGTAGCTCAGTGGGTTAAGACTCGGCCTGCGGCTTAGGTCATGATCTCAGGGTCCTGGGATCGAGCCCTGCATCGGGCTCTCTGCTCAGCGGGGAGCCTGCTTCCCTCTCTCTCTGCCTGACTCTCTGCCTACTTGTGATTTCTCTGTCAAATAAGTAAATAAAATCTTTAAAAAAAAAAAAGTAATTTCAAGCATGGGGGGTATATTGATGGGTGGAAAAAGTCAGAACATTTCAATTTTTAAAGGGAAACTTTCTAGTGCTAGACGTGCAAACCTATGCATAAATTCTGAAAGGACGTTTATTACTTGGTGTTCACGGGTTACTTTGCTCACCTCTGACTTTTGCTTAACTCATAAGAAACACGTATGATTAACATGTTCACATTTTTTTAAAAGCTCCTGTTCAGGCAAAAGATAAAAGACAAACTCTGATTTCCAGAACGGTAGGGTAGGTCTAGAAAATAGAGTAGATCTTTCCCAATCTGCTAACATGTTCTGTATGTTTATATGTGTTTTATAGTGTGAAGACAATCAGTAGCGCCTGTGTGATGGGAAGAGGAGAGCAGAGCAAGTGGAGGCAACAGAGTATTTACTTTTCCCCTCGGAACAGAGGAAGCAGAATCATCTCACCGGCCACAGGCTGAGATGTCATGCACTCCTGACTTCAAAATTCCTGAAACGCCATTTGTTCTCTCCAGGGAAGGGCAGCGTCCTATGGATTACCTCTCACCCTTGTAACTCCTGACACTTAGGGCCTTTGAGTCAGCCGGCATCTTTAATTTCTATCCCAGAATCTGACAACAGCCGCTTACCTAGGACAGTCAGAGTTGCGTTTGCAGAAATGCTTCCTGCACTGTTCTGAGCTGTGCAGCTATAAACCCCGATGTCCTCTATCTTCACATCCACAATAAAGAACACATCATCCTCGGGCATAACATGCATGCGTCTCTCCCTTGCGGCGGGGAAGTCTGTGCCCCCATCCTTTTGCCAGGCTATCTGTGGGGCTGGATGTCCCAGGGCAGCGCACTCCAAGCGCGCCATGGCCCCGGCGCGGATGGTGAGGTCCATGGGGGTCTTGGTGAAGGACGGAAGCACTGAAATCAGAGAAAGAATGAGGGCATTAGTGCTATGGAGTTTTAGAGGTTCATTTTCATTTTTTTTTTTTTTAAATATATACTTAACAAATGCCCCTGCTGTAGGTTAGGCTGGGGTTATTTCTGATTACAAGAGAAGGAATCTGAAGTTGAGATAAGGAGATTCCCTCAAGGTTACACACAGGTACAGAAATGATAAAGCCAGGCCAAGACACAGGTCATCCCCTGTACAAACTGAAGGTCTTTCTCCTATTTTCTAGTTACTTTTTAGTTTCCTCAGTAATTATCTGTGAGATCTTGGGCAGATCAATTAATCTCTTTGTACCCTGACGACTCACTTCATCTTTTTTTTTTTTTTCAAGTCCCTTCTGGCTCTAACATTCTATGACTTTAGATATGTGTTTTCTCCTACAACTTTAAACTCAAAATTGTTCTGTGTGTCAGTCCTCAGCAATCATTTGTAGAATTAATGAGTCATATACAAAATCTACCATGGAAAGTACAAATGATTAATTAATACAATGGTAAGGTTCCTGTCATAAAAAATGTATTCAGGTCACACAGAGCAAACAATTATAATTTTTATTAACAGCAACTAATATTTATTGCATTTGGTGAGCATTCACTGTATTCCAGGCTAATCCTTTACACCAATTATTTTATCTAATTATCATATCTCTATAAGATATGTACGATTTTTCCTAATAGAAAGATGTAGAAATGGAGGCACACATTTGCAACGACGTGGATGGAACTAGAGGGTATCATGCTTAGCGAAATAAGTCAATCAGAGAAAGACAACTATCATATGATCTCCCTGATATGAGGAACTGGAGATGCAACATGGGGAGTTAAGGGGGTAGGAGAAGAATAAATGAAACAAGATGGGATTGGGAAGGAGACAAACCATAAGTGACTCTTAATCTCACAAAACAAACTGAGGGTTGCTGGGGGGAGGAGGGTTGGGAGAGGGGGGCTGGGGTTATGGACATTGGGGAGGGTATGTGCTATGGTGAGTGCTGTGAAGTGTGTAAACCTGGCGATTCACAGACCTGTACCCCTGGGGATAAAAATATATTATATGTTTATAAAAAATAAATAAAAATAAATTAAAAAAAAAAAAGAAATGGAGGCACAGGATGGTTAAGTACTTTGATAAGAGTTACACAGCTGTATGCAGGAGTGGCAGGAATCAAACCCAGATCTCTGAATTAAAGGTGGTGTGCTGTAATGCTTCACAGCCTCCCACAGCCGACGAATACATTGTGAACTCCCCAAGAAGCACAACCCGTGTGTCGTTCGGCTCTGTGCTACCCACCATGGTGGGGTCCTCAACGCAGTCCCCGCTGATGCAGATTCCAAGTATATTAGTTTTGCAGAGTGAGAGGCAGAGAAAGGAAGGGTGAGGTGGGGAACTACAAACAGAAGACAGGGTTAGGAGTAAGAGAGAGAAAAACCCAATCTAAAAGGTGTCTTTAAATGCAAACGGAAAAGTTAGATCACGTACTGTTGACTGTAAGCTTGGCTTTGACCGAGTAGGATGAACCGAAGTGATTGGAGATGACGCACTGGTACTTCCCTTCACTGGTAAACTCCACATTGCGGAGCCGGAGGATGGTGGTGTACTCCATCACCTCGCCACCTTGGGCCCGCAGGTGTGCATAGTTTTCCATTTCCGCATCATGCAGTAGTTCATTGTCTTTTTTCCAAGCAAATGTCATTGGGGAATCACTGCTGCTGGCGGCCGAGCAGACAAAACTCAAATTGGAACCTTTTATTGCCGACTGTGTTTCTGGCTGAACAGTGATCTGGGGTTTAGGAAAGTCATCTGTTCAAGAGGGAGAGGAGGAAACAATGATTTTAAGGCTCGACAGTCCAAATGCTACTCAGTTTTTAATACCAAGAAACCCCAAACAAGTGAGTGCTTAGGTTTTACACTCGGTGTACGTTTCACAGATGGACTACCAATCCTCATGTTGAAATGATGGCCTAAATTATAAACTATAACTAATAATAGTTATAAACTAATTTGTTCACTTCAAATAGGGGCTGGCACCTACTTATCAATCATTAACTGAGAGACTATTATTCTGGAATATAATATAGTTTATCCTAGGCCCTTTATGCTTTTATTTTTTTTTTTACACATAAATAGGAGAAGAAATCAGCTAAGAAACTTCTAACTCATGGATCATCTTTAAACGCTACTAGTCGGAACTGCAATTTTTTCCATGTTATCCACAAAAAAGCCACAGCAAAATTAAGAAATCAGTATCACCAAAGACAGCAATTAACACCCCATTCACTAAAAACAGAACCCGTATTAAAGAGCAATAATCTTTAGGTCGAGTTGAAACAAATAACTCTGCCCTCTCAAACTCCCTGTGAGAGCCTGGCTTCAGCCTGGGGTTGAGGGTAGACCGTCAGTCAGGCCAGGCCGCCGCGCTTCACTGTCAGAACGACATGATAATTAAGCTGGGCAACTCTTTCATTCCAAACGTTCATTTTTAGTTCTCTGTTACTTTTTGGAAAAGTTACCTTTCTTGAACTGCAGTTTCTTGGAGATGGTCTAAACCCAGAAGGAAACAGTTTAGATCTACCAAAATGTATTATCTGCATGCTCTGGAGAAAGGACACCCGGTGGCCTGCATGCCTGTGCGTGTTCGTGCGGGGTGGGGGGTGTGTGCGTGTGAGTGAATGGGCTGTGGGAAGGCTCTGGGCGTTCCAGTGCGGCTCATGTCCAATACCACGCTGTCATCAAGATGGTTTCTGCTTCTGTACGGCTACTCTAAATTTCTCATCTGATAAATCAATGTTTAGATTCACAGTTGAGGGACTGAAAGAAAAATCCAAGGATACCGTAGACACGTCCCCAAAGAATAGAGCGTTCTTATCTTGGGACTAGAGAACTGCAAAATAAGCACCATGGGAAAGGCACGGCTCGGGCCCTTCTAGATGAAGGCCAAAAGCTTATTTAGATCCAAAAGCTACATCAGACGTTTTATTTCCAGAAACCGTTGGCACTGTGTAATGCTGCAACCTAAAAAAATATATTTTTCTTGTACTTGACTAGACAATCGTAGGCAAAGCAGTTTCAAATAAATTTTTAAAGGCCAACGTAAAATTAGGTTCTGTAATATCTTAACACACACACTAAAATTTAAGCAAACTTTGATTTTGTGTTCTACATGTGCATTTATTTTTACAAAGGTCTCCATGACAGTGAATAGTAAACAGCAGTGTAGTGTAGTCGACAGAAGCCTACACCAGGGAGAGGAGAACCTGGGGTTTTGATCCAGTCTGCTGACTAGCTATGTGAGATTTGAGGTTTGAGATTTCTAGCACTGAGATTCTTCACGCTAGAACAATGGACCTTATGCTGACTGATAATAAATTCAAACTTCCTATTACTTATAATGCTTTAACTGCCAGGAGCAACATTTTTAGCAGCCTGTAAATTATGAACTGATAATTTTCCCTTCATACCACAATACACAGCACTGACATGGGTGAGTTCAGCCTCTCCACAAGCCCGGAAGTGGGAAGGGCAGTCAGCACACGTCCCACTTCACAGACGCAGACACAGAGACTTAGGGAGAAGGGAGGGCTGCGACTGCCCACCAGTGCTCCCAAGATCCAACATCTTTCTCGTTCCATCAACGCCCCCCCTCGATGTCCAAACAGAGACATTTAAGGACATTTTCTCTCATCTGTAACATTAAAATCATCAGCACACCATTTTCATCTACCTCAGCAGAAATAAAAGATTCATCAAGGCAACATAAGCTTATTCAAGACCATTCATTGGCAGGAAAAAAAGAAGAATGAAGACAGAGGCAACAGTCACACTCACCGCACACAAAGCCATCTGGGCTAACAGCAAAAATACTTCTTCCTTTTAGCAGCTGAGGATGGGCGCAACTGGCATTTACAAAGCTCTGAAAGTTGTTTTCCGCCACCCACTGTGGGAGCCATTTTAGTTGGCAATCGCACAAAAGGCTTGATGTATTTAAATGCCTGAGGAGAGTAATTATGTTCAATTTGTTTTATATGAAATGCAGATTCTATGAGTAAACTAACTCAAGTAAATATTAACAAAGCAATGAATGTGGAAACCAAATACACACCCCATGCAATAAATATTCTCGAGTCCATCTTAAAATGTACGAAACGTATTAGCACCATATTGTTGCTGTTTCTGACTTACTGAGGGAGAAGTGCTGATATACTGAAAACACCTCACTCCTGAAGGCTTGCTACCCTGGTCAGGCCTTGCACCACATTAGGTCCCACACATTTAAATTGCAAATTTGTTAACAGAAACAGAAAGAAACTTCTCTTCTCAACAAAGGGAACAGATCGCCAACTCCCTTTGCTTTCTGGTATAAAAAACAAGCTAAGAAAGCACTAGATGCTTTTTATAGACATGTGATCTAGGCTGACATGCCCCCTGACACCAGGTTTCATTTGAAACTCTTGGAAAGAAAAGGAAAGCTTACAATTGCTGAAGTTTCTTCATTTGTGAAAATGCATTGCCTTGTAATGACATGATTGCGTTGTCACTCAGATCTCTGAAAATAAATCAAATACATTAGAGCGAATTATGGTCACTGCCTGCCTCAGGCAAAAGCTGGGCCCACACTGCCCACCCCATTCGCCAAACTACCCCATGTGCTGAAATGCACCAACCAGGCAACTCCAGAGAACCCATTAGGAAGCTTCAATCAAAGAACACGAATATTTGTATCAGAGGCAGATCTCTTATAGTAAAAAAGATTTGCTTTATATCCTCATGTCTATGTTATTGGATTCAGGAGGGCCTACACTGTTCTGCTGTGTTTTGTTTTTTTTTTTTTTTGTAGTTACATGGTTTGTTCTGCTGTATTATTTTACTGTTTCTCAATACTCAAATTAGTAACCAATAGTAACTTTTAAATACACAAGTAAAATTTCTCATAGTTACGCTTTTTAAAAAACCCACCATATATAAAATACTTTCTATGACATGCACTGGGTTAAAGGATTTACATTTACATAGTGTTACATTTATTCCTCACAGCAACCCAAAAGAAGATGGTTTTACTACCTTGTTCGGCATGAAAGGGGCAGGTAAGATATGAACTCAATTATTTTCCATTTCAACACCTATGCTCTTGGTCAGTAGCCCATTCTGCCACACACAACTCATAAGTAGAGACAGCAAGGTGTTCAGACCAGATGTACTTGCTAAAACACACTTCGGGCAGGACATTTATAAAACCAGAGAATATTCCAGGCTGACTTTATTTTTAACTAGTGCTTACAAACAGTTTGAATTAAAGCAGTCTCCACAACGATTACTACTCTGTTTTTCTTTTATGGGGTCAGAGTATACAAAAAGGATTTTGAATGAGATGAGAGGCAACACAGGACAGAGGGAAGGTACCAAACATGGGCAGAAAAAGAGGCTGGGAGAGTCAAAAAGGTTTTGAAAACTGAAGCAGAGGTTAATACTCCACTGATCTACTAATTCCACTTTCCCAGAAATGGAAAGGGTCAGATGACAAACCCTTTGGCTAGTTTCCCTTTGAAAATAATTTGTTTCAAGGAGTCCAGCAACACTGGTCCGCCCTTCCAAATTCTGCTTTGCAGAATCATCCTACTCCAGCCTGAATGCGTCTGTCAGCGTGGCTAGCAATTCGAACCTTCCTTAAACTAATAAGTGAGTCAGGAGACAGAAAGATGGTTGCAGATAATGATGAAATTGTCTCTCTCAATACACAGTGCAAATGCGGGTTTGCCCAAATGCGTTCTGAACTTCTTTTGTCCAGGTTAATAGATATTAAAACTTTTGGTTATAAGCATTCCCTCACAGAGTGGAGATATTTTGTATCACTTTGTACTTTTGCTGTACAAGTGTAAATATTCCCGTAGTTGTTAAGAAGTTGGTTGGTTCAGTGCTCATGCGGGTCTTGACTCCTATCCAGGGTAGCTAGCTTGCCCTCCTAGTGACTGGAAATACCTGCGTCCCTAAATGTCATTTCAAAAATGTGTGCCAGCAGTTACTAAGAGGGGATGGCGCAGAGACTGTGAAGACAAGAGCTCGCGGCACAAGGACATGGACAGCAGAGGCAGTCCTGGTGTGAGTCCTGCATCAGGCAACTCTGAGCTGATGGGCTGGTAGCAAAACCGAACAAGAGAAAGAACGAAGGTAGAAAAACAGGTTGTATGTTTTATAATTAAACAACAGCAATGACAAACTAATACAAGTCTGAAAGTAATGTCACCACCCTCCTAATGTCACTCCTAAGGATCACGGGGAATTGTTTTTAATTTTTTTTTTTTTCGTGCAAAGATTTTATTTATTTGACAGAAAGAGACACAGTGAGAAAGGAAACAAAAGCATGGGGAGTGGGAGAGGGAGAAGCAGGCTTTCCACTGAGCAAGTAGCCCGATGTGGGACTCGATCCCAAGACCCTGGCATCATGACCTGAGCTGAAGGCAGAGGCTTAACCCACTGAGCCACCCTCGTGCCCCTGCTTTTTTAATCTTTAAAATGCAAGTCATCCATCATAACTGTTCAACAGAATCAGTGGACACTCAAAACCTCCACTTCTTTTAATTAAAAATAAAAGTAATAGGAGCTACTGAAAATTTTCTTAAATTAAATGAAACTATATATAAATATATATATTATATATATATAATGATTAAATGGATTAAATGAGACTATATATAAATATCCAGCATAATGCCTGATGTAAGTGCACAATAAAGTGTCAGTTTTTGAAAATTAAATATATCACTACTTAAGAAAAATAACTCAAAGAAAACCCAATAAGTATAGTTCCTCAAATGCAAAGGGAAATGTATACCTATATACTTCCATATAGATATAGATACATAGATAAACAGGTAGAAGATAAACAGATGTGAAAATATACTTCATGGTACAGAGAGAATGCCAACAAAATGACATTCTAGTTTATCTTTCATGACACATAAATAGATAACCATCTTAGATTCCTTCAGGTAACTAAATTCCAGTCACTCACAGATGTTCTAATGCGTCCAAACCGGTAAAGGCTTTTTTGGTAATAGATCGAATCCGGTTTCCCTGGAGTATTCTGAGGGGGGAAAAAAAATTACATTGGAATAGTTAAAGACATTTGGGGGTGGAATTCTCATGAAAAGAATCTCTTTTAAAATCATTGTGGAAAAAAGAAATCACTGTGAATAATTCTATTTTCTTCAATTAAATGATATAACGGGCACAAGCGTATTCATGCCATCTATTTCAGTAATACAGTTCAGCATGATCTCAAAGAATTCAACAGAGAGCCCAGCAAATATAGGTATTCAATAAGTTACTCCAGCAGTTAAATTAAAGCCGTGACTTTCAAAGTCTTCTTAAGAGGTAGAAACTTCCTTCCAGGTAAATGGTTTCAGAACTGTAATTAGTGAGGCAGATAATAGTGGAGATCTTCTCCTTACCCTCCTTCCCCACGGATACTTTTATCATTCACGGAAGTTTTGGGCTACATGGAACTCAACTTGAAAACTTAAAACATAAGGCCACAGTAAGGCCAAACAGAAGCCTGTTTTTTGCCTGTATTGCTCAGTGCCCACTGCAGTATTATCAGGGGACACTGGATCGTGTCACTTAAAAAGTCCTGTGAGCAGAATGGACCACTCAGAGTTTCAAAATGGTGAAATTAGGAAGTGTCCTTTTACACAGTGATAAGCCCAAGATTCTAAGTGCTCAAAACAATTTAAAATTCTTGTCTGGATGTTAAAATAAGTCACATCTCCCCAAAGTGCTGAATAAAACTGCCATACCAAGGAAGAAAAGCGAATTAATACCCATCTTGTATAGCAACACTCATCTGGGGAGATGGCCAAGGGAAGCAACCAGATTCAGCCTCTAGTTCTAAACTCTCTCAAATCTTAACCTGTAGAATGGACTTCAATGAGTGTAGGTCAGACAGGGAGTTCAACAGATGTAGGTCAGACAGGGAGTTCAACGGGTGTAGGTCAGACAGGGAGGCCACCATGAAGCAAATCCTACTCACAGCCGCCTCAGTTTGTCAAGCCCAGAGAAAGCACCGTTCATATCTTCAATAGTCCAGGAAATTTCATTGTTCTTCAGATCCCTAGTTATAAGAAGAAATGTTATTGAAACTCATACCACATACTTAACAAAAGATACAAGCATTCTCCTTAGAGAGATGCTCAGAAAGCCAAGATCACCACCCAGGTGGCATGTAATTCGTAATAAATTCCTCATAATCCCCCATATCATCTCCACCCTTTTCAAAACAATAGAAAACTCTTTCTCTCTCCCAACACTAAGTTTTTGCTCAAAATCAGGAGAGTTGATTCTGTCCTATTAATTCCTCTATCAAGATGACTAAATTCTGAAAGACCTGAACAGTCTGAAAAATACATTAAACTTTAAAACCACTGATCCAACCACACAAGTAGGAGTTAGCCAAAGCACACAGCATGTCTTCCAATTATGTAATGCTTCAAATAGTGAACAGAGCAAAAGTTTCTGACCATGCAAAAACCAAAAGCCCATTGCACAACATTAAAATTAACATTTCAGAGATTTTTCAAAGGTCAATTAATCCAACTCTCTTTTCTTCCTCTGAGGACAGAGTTCAAGCCTGGATATAACTGGTATACCAAACAGGCATCTTCCTTTGCTCCCCTTGTATATCTTTTTGTTCTGCGTAATTTCTAATCTGCATTTTTATAAAAATTGGTGGATTTATAAAAATCAGTGGATTTTAGAAAAATCAGTTGATTTAAAATCGTTTCTCTTTTGAGCAGTTACCAACTTCCTGGAGATCTGAGAAGGTTAAGTGTAATCACCAAACCAATCTGATCACTGTCCTTTTTAATCTCTCTAAGAAACACATATGGATGAAATGGACTGATTTTAATCAAACTGATCTGGGAAAGATTAAGACACTACTTCTGAGGCTGTACATATTTCCTTCACAACAAAGGAAATCTGCTTGGAGAAAAGTGGGCACATTTAGGAACCAATTAGGTTCATACATGGAGAGTAAAATGTGTAACTTACAAAGTCTTTAGACTGGAAAGCCCCCGGAAGGCACAATCAGCAATATAGCTGACTTTGTTATTCCCAATGTGCAGTGTATTTAGTAAGCTTAAGCCCAGGAAGCTTGAATCATCCAACCTCGATAAGTGATTGAAAGTTAGGTCCCTGTTAAAAAAAAAAAAAAAAGAATAAAAAATAAATAGTAGCCTTTATTCTCCAGTTCAACACAATGATTTGTTTTCAAACAACAGGTAATATACGTAACCCCAATAATCCTTATTTTAACACTCTGCCGTCTTAATAATACTTAGGTAAACATTGTTTGTAATCCTACTGGTTAAAAAAAATTGCTCTTTATTTGAAAATAAACAAACCATCACTGATTTAGCCCATGTGGTCTCGAACTCAAACAGCACAGTTGGCTTCAACTTATCACAACAACAATATGACTAGGTTGCATGTGAACAAAGCTGTCACCTTGGAAACTTTGTTATGAAAATTTCACAGATCAGTGGTAAGAAGCTCATGCAGGATCCCTGCTCTTGGACCTGAGGAGAATAAAAGGCAACTCACAGCTCGCTGAGTTTCTGGCAGAACTCCCAGGCATCGGGGCTGATCCTGCTGATGGCATTTTGGCGGAGATGAAGTTCCTGCAGCATCAGCAAGCCGTAAAGCCAGCCTTTGGTGATCTCTGTTAGGTTGTTATGGTCCAGCTGCCTACATTTACAAGAAGAATCAAAAGCAGGATCACAAGCTCATTATCTAGTCTCTGCAAAGGAGACCTAGGATTACAACCTATTACATATTCCCATTATTACGAGACGTTCAGCTTTTGTTGTATAAAGACATCAGCAAAAGATACCATGGGCTTATAAATTCTCAGTCATGTTACCTGACACAAAACTGAATATTAAGTTATAAGACTGTAAATTATGAGATTTTTAACATAGGATCTCAAACAAAGCTACGGCATATTCACTGAGCACTCCATGATTGTACGATCAAAGCAGGAACTGTGATAAGCACACTTACAAGATTTCCATGTTGCTCAGACCCCAAAAAGCTCCGTCCATAAGTTTTGTTACTCCATTTCTTTGCATTTTCAGAGACTTTAGAGCACCAAGTCCTTGGAATGTAAGCCCATCTATGTTTTTAATCTTGTTGCGGTTTAGTTCACTGCATTGGATAGAACAGTTAAATAGTTTATATGACAAAATTCTGGCGGTAGTAATAAAATGTGACATTACCACAATACAGTTAAACCAGCAAATGTTAAATTACATAGAATGTTTTAAATTTCTAAACATTTTTATTGAGAAGAATTCTGATTTATTAGCAGGGAGTGAATTTCCTCCTGAAATGTGTGATGTATTTTTGGAAAAATGAAATATTGAAACTAGACTACACTTCAATTTCTTTAAAACACTTATCTACTCAGTGTATTTGTTTTTAAATGATCTAGAGTTAGTATACTGAATATTATGTTAAAACATGAGATCTATTCAGGGGTAGGGCCTCTAAGCTTATTCTGCTTACAAAAGTTGGTTACTCTCTCTTTCAAAATTCTTTTTTCTGTTTAATGCTTTCTCTTCAAGGCAGTCATTTTCAACCTCGGTTGCACACTGGAATCACCTGGAGAGCTTTAAAAATTACCAAAGCCTGGATCATACCCCCCAGAGGTTCTAATATAATTGGTGTAGGGTGTGGCCTGGACATTGGGATTTTTAAAAGCTCCCCAGTGCCTATAATGTGCAGCCAAGGTTGAAAACCACTATATTGTAGGAGCCTGTTCACAGATCATTCCACCACTATTAATGAGCAGCTCTTTGCAGCCACTTAAGCTATCAGAGCCTCCTGGAGCTGTCAGTATTATTTTCATAAACCACAGCTGTTGGGCGTCGCCATGATTTTGCCAGGGCCACAGTGATGCCTTTGTATGGAGACTGTTCAATGATGACGCTGTTCATTCTTTCAGTAACAATCTAACCTGCCCTGTCAGGCAGGAGTTTGCACTAAGTGGCTGCGAAGGCTCTTTCTGATTCAGAAATTCAGCCACTCCAGTTCTCAATGGGAAGAGCGCCACATTCTTGCTTCGAATCTCCTCTTTGGTCACGTTGTGGATTTTAGGCAACAGACACCAAGGGTTTAGAGGAGGTGAAGAAACACCGTCTAAGAGAACATCTTACTTACAGGTGTTGTAGCTGGGGCAGTTTAAACATCTTGGGTGGGAGAGCTGAGAGTCGGTTCCTGTTTAGCTTCAACACCAGAAGTGTGTTGGCCAGACTGTCAAAATACCCAGGTTCCATTGAAGTGACTCGGTTGTTACTGAGATACCTGTTAAAAAGTTTGAAGATGAGCTTCTCCTTCTGGCTCTTTGGAAAGTTAAAACACATAAATTCCCTGCATTGTAATCTCCAGAGAACCTAACCATCATTTGTATCAATGGACACTTAAAAATTAAGTCTTTAGGTCCTTGTGGACCAACGCGGACTACGATTCACACATACTGCTAAGGAAGGAATGACTGGAATATTTGAAGGGTATAAAAATTTGTTTCAGATACTTATCCAATTTTTATAAAATTCATTTATTAATGAAACAAAGAGTGGCTTAATTTTCTAAAGAAGCACTTTTAGCTCCACATAGTTTTTCTAACAAAGGATGTCTAATTTTTTATAATTGGAAAGTATAACAACAAAATAAAGACTGTGGTTATTTGGGTTTGTAGCAAATTACACGTCAAGAAGAAAGTTAAAGGTACACTGCTGATACACCAGCAGTTTAAAAACAAAGGCAGATTTCATTACATTTTAAAGTTGATTTTTTTATTATTATGACATGGTATTGTCATCATAGGTGAATATCTTTGTTAAAGAAGACTTGACTTACAGATATTTGAGTTGTAGGGATGGAAGGGGAGTTTTAAGCTCTGAAATATTATTGTTGCTCAGGTCCAAAGTTTCAAGGGATTGAAACTGTTTCAGATGCTCAGGTAATATTTCAACAATTCTGTTTCCAGCTCTGGAATTTAAAGATAGCACAGAAGACGGGGTTAATAATACAACAATCTGAAAGGTGTAAAATAATTTATATTCCTAATTTGTTCTTCAAAATATGGAAAACTGATTGTTCTAAACTGTACTTTTAAAAGTTAAACAGCAATTCTTATGTCACTTTAATGTCACCTTAAATAGTAAATCATAATATTCAAATGTATGAAAAACATTCCTATATAAATCTGGGTGTGTTTAACAGCTATGGTTACCCAAATGCTAAGCACTTAAAAGTTATCTGATTTTTACATTCTTTTTGTTACCAGTCCTTCTTCCTTATCATTTTATTAAATGGTAGATACCATTTAATAAAATGACTAACACTGAGTTGGCATTCCAGGCACTGATGTGGTCTTTGTCTATTCTTTTTTTTTTAAGATTTATTTATTTGACAGATAGAGATCACAAGTAGGCAGAGAGGCAGGCAGAGAGAGAGAGAGAGAGAGAGAGGAGGAAGCAGGCTCCCCGCCGAGCAGAGAGCCTGATGCTGGGCTCAATCCCAGGACCCTGAGATCACCACCCAAGCCGAAGGCAGAGGCTTTAACCCACTGAGCCACCCAGGTGCCTCCTTTGTCTATTCTTTTCCTTGAGTCCTAACCTATTTCTAATTCTTCTCCTGGAGATTATGCACACAACAGGTACTAATGAATTTAAAATACTCATCAGATCGGGATTGTTTTTTAAGCCATGCTAGAGAGCTTTTTCTTTAAGAAACAGCAGATTTCAAGGTATTGCCATAGTCTTCAAAACCAGAGGATATGCTCCAGGGCTTTGAATATTATAAAAGTATTACATAAAAGCACACCAGTCTAAATAATCTCTAGTTAATTAGATTAATAAGGTTTGACATTAATAGTCTTAAACACCAGACCACGATGACCAATATGGTAGCCACAAGTAGTACTCTAAATGAAAGGTTGAAATTCAGTTCCTTAATCACAGGAGCCCCATTTCAGGACCTCAACACACACATGTGCTTGGTGGCTGTCAAATGGGTCAGTGCACATACAGATCATTTCATCACTGAAAGTTCCCTTGGTGAGCCCTATACTAGACCACAAATGAAAAACAAAACAAAACAAAAAGGGGGCAAGTCAAATCTCTTCAAAGGTCATCAATACAACAGCTTTCAAGGGGAAACTCAACATTAAATGACAATCTTGCTAGAAAACAGGAATCAAATTGATGTGCAAGCCATCTTATTTGTCACATTAGATCAGGGAGCCTGGAGTTTTTAGAGCATCATTTGGCAGGGGAAAACAACATGTCAACGTAGGAAGGACAGGACGAAAACAGACTCCACTTACAAAGAAGGTCTCTTTATAATCCACAGAAAAATCAAACAATGTGGAGGCTCTAGGCAGAACTCTATACGTGATATGTCACAAGCAGCTGTTTTTATACATAGTCTAAGAGTAAGCCTCATTTAAGGAGAGAACTTAGGAAATATACCTCATGTGTGTATCTTTCGACCAATAATGTATTTCTATAGTGCTCTGAGAATTTATTAAGCTCTTTTGCATTATTATAGCACACAGGCCTCTCACCATCTCAGAAGGTCTCTGAGTCCCTCATGCATATTTTTCACAAAATCTTATGCTGCGTTCTGACACAGCGCTTTCACACTGCTGGTCTTCTCTGCCATACTCTGAGGTCCTCTGAAGTAAGGAGATAGGTCTCTACCCCTCTGTCTTGGACCGTTTATGAAATCTAAGAACGTGGAGAACATCTTAAATGTCAAGCTGAGACTAAGGATTGTTCATATATTATATCATTTGGCATTTAATCACAGTAACATTCCCCCATAGAGGTATTATAGACAACTGTAAAATTAGGAAACTAGGGTTTTTGACCCACGAGGTCATATTCGTACCAAAGCAATTGCTGAAGGCTAGTTTCATAGAATATAGTGTCAAATATATTTGGCAGTTAAGTTCTTATGTGGATATGCACACTCCCACCACCTCCCAGAAAGGGCCACGACTTCCCACTCTTGCAGAAATGCTGAACTTCTGGTTTCAAACTAATGTGGGAATCAACCCTGCCTCATGGAGCCATAACCAAGCCAACACTAAGGATGCCCTGGAAACAGGGTCTCCTCAGTCTTGCTTGTACCCCAGGGAGACAACCGAGGGGTGTGCACATGTTTGCCATGCACCAGAGTAGAAGACCAACTTCCTGAATATGTGCCAATGTCAGGTGCTGATTTTCCCACAAGAAAGAACAGTAAGGGAGAAAACAGGTTGGACTTTTTCTATTTAAACTACAATAACCTAACAAAACTTCTCAAAATACTGTCAAAACCCTCTGTATGTTACTTTTAAGGACTGCAGGGAATCATGTCTTTTGATCCAGGTCATCTGGGAATCTAACTATGTTCTCATGTCATCCTATACAAGGTAACAGGCATAGGTGATGCATATCTTAAAAGCTGAATTTGTCTGTGATTATAGTAATGTTAAAAAAAAAAAAAGTTTAACAGTCCTATTTACAAGTAACAAATATCAAGCCCCTTAGTCTCCCATAAAGTCTTACAGACTTTGTTTAGAGTCAAGTCAGCCATGACCTCTGATTTTGACCATTTCCCACATCTGGATTTGCCAGTGTATAAACTCCTTGATCTAGTTGTGAGGTAGAGGGTAATGCAAGCGAGACAATTAGTCAATTTCTAGATCCCGGAGATGGATTTAGTCCAAGAGACAAGCCACAGGGCCTTAGGGTCAGGGTGTGTGGGTTAAACAAAACCACACTTTAGGGAACAAAAATGTTCTCTTAAACACATAACCCAAATGTTTGCATTACCAGGATGTCCTCCCACAAACAGCAGAGTAACCCTGAAATGCTCCCCTCTCTCCATTGCCCTCCCCTGTCCCTAGTCACCACCTCCCATCAAACTCTGCATCCCAGGCTGTCTGAGGCTAGTAGAGCCACACTTAACATTTAACAACACAAAGAAAATGCTCAGCCTTAGATTTTTGCAATAAATGGAACAAACTGGTTTTTTGTGGGAGGGAGAGGGAGACCCACAAGTGTCTATCATGTTGGTCAAATAAGGCCACGAGTTAGATAACAGGCCATACAGTCTTTGGTTTATATGTTCGTCTGTTTATTAAGTAATTATGAACAAGGTATTAAAACTGCCAATTACTTGAGTGACGAATAAAATTTTCCTTGCAGTTAAAGTATGCTCCAGCCAAAGCCAGCAATTTCCTGAACTGCACACTTCCTAAATTGCAGTGTGAAAGTGCTCTGTTACAGACGGAGTGTGCACAGTGCCCTCTTTGTCAGCCCTGCTTCCTCGCACAAAAATCCCTTACAACTGCCAGGATAATAGTCCCTGTATCACAGAATTTTAACTCTGTTCTAATGGAACTGAATTAAATCCAAATACCAGTTTCATATTAGCTCTTGGAGACTGACAAATAACCACGTGATATGTACCAGTTTAAACAAAACAAACTTGCTCTGTATCACGCAAGAGTTTCTAAAAACGGAGACAACTCCATTAAAAACTAGATTGAAAGATCTTTTTAATCACCTAAAACCCTCAAAATAAACATAATTCTAATAGAGTTGGTCACAAATAGCTGTTTCTAAAAGATAAAGATTCAATTCAACTCCAGCTTTAATTTTTCTCCAAATATGGATAAATGCCAAAACCGATGAACACACTGAAAGCACTGTGGTTAATTAATATTTTTGACAGGATGTGCAATGCTTTAACAAAACAAACAAACAAACTGAGTGAATACTTTTTTCCATGACTTGATGTGGAAGTACCATCTTTCCATTGTTCAAAAATCACAATATGTAAGTCATATAAGTATCGGAAGGCATTGCAACGTTGTGCAAATCCAACCCAAAAGGACAGCGAACATTTTGGTCATCTGTGTATGTTGACAGTACAAGGTGTTCCATGGTCAAATCAGTGCCGAGGTCAGGTATAATTAGTCCCTTGTGGACACACACCGACCTGGGGGCTTGGGCTGTCAGAGCACAGACGGTTTCCTCAGGCATCTGAGAGGCCACAGGAAAAACAGGAGTCCCAGGTAGTTTCACTCAGTCTTGGCTTCTTGGGCCCAACTACAACGGTTTAACTATGTTGCTAATTTCCCCTTTTGTAACCCACTTCGCCAAATACCTTTAAAATGCAGAGCCAAACATAGCCTGGCATTTTCTTATGGTGAGATTTGCTCTGAGAGTGCTAAAGATCTACCAAGGAATAAGATGGATACGGTCCCTGAACCCATGTAGTTTACATTCTAGCGGGGGGAAGAGGCAGACAGATGAAAGGGGTCACCACCGTGATAACTACCGTGATAAGATGGCAATGGAGAAGAACGAACAGCCTCCTAAAAAGGAGTGGCAGCGGTCAGCAAAACTTCCCATGGCAAGAAGACAGGTTAGCGTTCCAAGCAGAAGCAAGTGTGAGGAAGGCAAGGCTTCCCTCTGAGGAAATGAAAGGAAGCCTTGTGGCTGGGGTAGAGAGTTTATGGGTGAAGACTAGGGAGATATGAAGTCCAGGAGTGAGGTAGCCAGGAGGAGAGGAATGTAGGTCAAGGGGGACCCTATACACCTCATACGCATTGGGCCTTTATCTCAAGATCAGCTGGGGGAGGAGGACAGAGGATTTCAGAATGGGGTGACTATATCACACAAAAGTGTGCTCTGGAAGTAGTGGGTAGAAACACTGGTAGGGGAAACACAGGCATGACCAGGTGCACGAGCACCAGGAGGTGCGGAGGACCAAGACAGTGTGTTGAGATAACAATGACCTTCTGCCTAGCGATCCACTTTGGGGGTAAAGTAGTACTCTGCATCTGGTTCCCCAGAGCACACGCTGTGCTTTTCGCCCCCACTGACATACAGGCTCAGGTTTCCAGCTCTGGAACCTTTGGACACTGGAACCCAGTTTGGCACCACTAGAGTTCCCATCCACTCTCCATTACCACTTCTGTGTGTGCTGCT